GGGGGGGGGGAGCCCCCCCCCGGATCTTTGACCCCCCTCAGGGATTTTTTCAGCACAGCCGCGTTGGATCGCGCTCCCTCGAAGAACGTGATAAACCCAGAACAAAAAAGCTCAACTGGCTGATGCTGCAGCCGACCCTTGTGATTGTTCAGACCAAACTTTCTGAACACGCGGGAACTCTTTCGCACTCTCGTCAAACCACTGAGTCCACAATCCACAGTTGCTGTTCTGCCAGCGTGGCGTGGGAAATCCAGCATTATGTTCAAAAGGCATTTTACCAAGCTTGCATCAACTAGCACCTCTCCGAAGGCCGTCCACCGTTCGCTTATCACACTCAGCGCATTGCTGCATGTCCGATGGCTTACAGTTACGATCAGTTGCGACATTGGTCACGGCCACTGCTGCTCCCGATGACGGGCCAACAGTTCTTTACTGGCAGGAGCTCCAGGTAGGCGGCGCCACATATCAAAAGTCCACCTTTTTCTGGCGCCTAGCTTGGGCTTGACTTCTGAGAGAAATGCCAGAATGCGGCAGCGCAGGACGCACATCGGGAGGAAGCGTGGCAAATTCGCACGCGTTGGCAAAGAGCTGCCCAGCCAAGAGGGCCTGCCTGAATGCATTCGAATATCCTTCCCGCTCATCCGGGGAATCTCCTTTGCGAGAGCGCGCACAAGAAAAGTTGTCGTCCTCTTCCCTCCCTGGGCTCAAATGTGGGCAGATGGGGCGAGGAGAAGGCACATCATCTGAGGTGGGGATTTATCCATAACCACCGCCTGGGGGATCGATCTCTGGGGCCTCGGCAGGCGTTGGGTATAGATAGATTCGAAAGGGCGTGTTCTGCCGCTGCTGGCAGAAAACCAGGGGGGGCCACTGGGGGTGTCCAACCCGTCCCCCCACCCCCCTTCGAAAACGGGGGGAGGTTACTGGGGTTCCCGACCCCTCCTCCGGGGGTCCATCACGACAAGGGGGGGGAATACTACCGGTTCGAACCCCCCCTTTCCTCGCCGCAGGCAGACGACTCCCCCTCCTCCCCCACTCCACATGGGGGACTGTGGTGGTGGGGACAGTGGTTGGGACGGTGGTGAAGAGAGAGTGGGGAGTGGGGACACTGGGACATTGGTGGGGACAGTGGGACCGTGGTGGGGACAGTGGTGGGGGCACTGGTGGGGGCACTGGTGGGGACAGTGGGGACAGTGCGACGGTGGTGGGGGCACGGGTGGGGACAGTGGGGACAGTGGTGGGAAGAGTGGGGACAGTGGGACAGTGGTGGGGACAGTGGGGGCAGAGGGACAGTGGTGGGGACGGTGGTGGTGGGGACAGTGGTGAGGGGACAGTGGGAGAGTGGTGGGGACAGTGGGCGCAGTGGGACAGTGGTGGGGACGGTGGTGGTGGGGACACTGGTGAGGGCAGTGGTGAGGACGGTGGTGGGCACAGTGGGGACAGTGGGACAGTGGAGAGAGTAGTGGGGACAGTGGGAACAGTAGGTGGAACAGCGGCGGGGACAGTGGGGACAGTGGGACAGTGGTGGGGACAGTGAGACATTGGTGGGGACAGTGGGGGCAGTGGGGACAGTGGGACCGTGGTGGGGACATTGATGTGGACAGTGGGGACAGTGCGACAGTGGTGGTGGCACTGGTGGGGACAGTGGGGACAGTGTCGGGAACAGTGAGGACAGTGAAACATTGGTGGGGACAGTGGGGACAGTGAAACAGTGGTGGGGAGGGTTGTGGTGGGGACAGTGGTGAGGGGACAGTGGGGCAGTGGTGGGGACAGTGGGGACAGTGGGACAGTTGTGGGGACGGTGTTGGTAGAGACAGTAGTGAGGGCGGTGGTGAGGACGGTTGTGGGACAATGGTAGAGTGGGGTCAGTGGTGGGGGCACTGGTGGGGACAGTGGGGACAGTGGCGAGAAGAGTGGGGACGGTGGGACAGCACAGTGGGACAGCGGTGGGGACAGTGGGACAGTGGTGGGGACAGTGAGGACACTGGGGAGAGTGCGACCGTGGTGGGGACAGTGGTGGTGACAGTGGTGGGGACAGTGGGCACAGTGGGGACAGTGGGGACAGTGCGACAGTGGTGGGTGCACTGGTGGGGACAGTGGTGGGAACAGTGGGGACAGTGGGACAATGGTGGGGACAGTAGGGACATTGGGACAGTGGTGGGGACAGTGGTGAGGGCGGTGGTGAGGGCGGTGGTGGGGACCTGGGAGTCGTTTGCCGGCGGCGAGTGTGGGGGGATGGGGGGGGGCTCGAGCCGGTAGTGATCCCCCCCCTCGGTTTTTTGGATGGGTGGGTGGGTTGGGGCTCGAACCAGTAGTGACCCCCTCCGATTTTCCGGAGGGGGGGAGGAGGGGGCGGGGTTGGGGGGGGGGGTAGGTTTTGCCGGGGGAAGGGCGGGAGGGTTCGAGCAGGGAAGGGGGGAATTTTCAGAGGGGGGGGGGGGGAACCCCGGGTTCCGGAGGAAGAGAGGGGTGCATTTTCGACAGCACAGCGGCGGTGGATCACGCTCTCTCATATACGCGGGCCCCTGGGGCCCAAAGATATCCATATTCACCGCCCGCTGGGGTGCCAGGACGTCGGTTCCCTTGTGGTGGTCATGGATAAGCCCCCGCCTCGCACATCACCAACCTTACGGAATTGAAGCCCACCGGCACGTCTTGCGAAGAGAACTGACCAACCCTCCTACAGAACGGCGAGGGCAGCGAGAGCGCGACGGGGGGAGTCCCATTGGGGCAGGCGAGGGTTGAGTACCGGGGCCCTGCCCACAATCGAGCTGAGAGACTGAAGAGGACTTCCCATGGACTGCCGCCTACGGAGGAGTAGGAGAAAGCGGAGGAGTAGGAGAAAGCGGAGGAGGAGGAGGAGGAGGAGGAGGAGGAGGAGGAGGAGGCACTAGTTGGGAGAGGAAGGCCCGCGTGCGGGAGGGCGAGGGTTGAGCATCGAGGCCCTGCCCACAATCGAGCTGAGAACCTGAAGGAGAGCCCCTCATCAGTATCGTTTAACCGACGACGCCCGAAAACCTCAAATCTCGAACCCGAAACCCTGGAGCCTTCCCCACTCGGCGCGCCGCCGATGAGAGGGAGGCATCATGTCACGGTTCGGAGGTGTCGGGTCCCCGCGTCGCGCCCGCGGCCTCGGGAAGGGTCGCGCGCCCGGGCCCCAGAAGCGTACGGGACTGCTCGGGGAGGCCCATAAGTCAGCATCGTGTAACCGACCCTTGTCCGCAGTGTCATCCCCGTCCAGACCCCCAACATCCCAGCACCCCAGTTGGGGATATATCCTTCGAAACCTGGAGGAAATGGCCTATTTCCCCATCTAGGGGGGTGAATCGGCCAGTGGGGCCCAGGCGACGCCCATGGGGGTAGGGGTCGGTTAAACGATGCTCACCTCGCTCCACCAGGTTCGGGCTGTTCGTGTTGCTCCCGTTTAGCGAACCTGGCTCATCTCGTGGGCTGCCTTTCCTGTTGCTGTGCCGGCTGATCTCGGATACACTCACCATCCCGAACTGAGGAGTCAGGAAATTGGTTGGTGAATTGCCTTGGTGGCGTAGCCAAGGGCAAAATTGTCGGTCATGCTTGTGAGCTTGAAGGTTGAACAGGAACGGGCGAACTTGGCGGTATTTGCAGAGCAGGGTCGATGGGCAACGGGGGGGAGAATAAGCACTCCACATGTCGTCAACGTCACTTACGAAGACCAATTTAATGAGATTGACGTGCATTTTGCTGGAAAAGGTGACATTCAAGGCGTAGTCGATGCCGAGTGCTGATCCCGTTGAGGAGAAGGCGGTAGTGTAGTCAACGAATTTCCCCAAAAGCCCCTGAGACCGCATACCACCAAGCCGAACAACAGTAAGAGCATGAGTGGATGAAGGATGCAGGCTGACGCGCCTGGGTTCCGTACGCGAGCCAAATATGGATTGACAAGAGTATGAAAATGGAAGCTCCCCCACCTCTTCCGCCCAAAGGGCAGGCAGGACTCAAGACGGGGGAATGGCGGCCAGCTCACGCAGGGAGCCCAGGAGGAGGAGGAGGAGGTGGAGGAGGAGGAGGAGGAGGATACGAAGAAGGAGGAGAAGAAGCAGAAATGGGGAGGAGGAGGAGGAGAAGGAGGAGGAGGAGGATACGGAGAAGGAGGAGAAGAAGCAGAAAGGAGGAGAAGGAGGAGGAGGATGAGGAGGAGCAGAAAGGAGGAGAAGGAGAGGGACGGTGATGGGCCAGATCCTCACTACTCTCGCGTCCTGGGCTGCCCCAGCAGGCAGCCAGGCTGTCGGAGCAGAGCGGCGCAGGCGGGTCCGGTGATCTGGGGGCTAACAGATTTGCTGAACCAGTTCTCTGCCTCCTTCTCATCCCTTCAGTTTCTTACGTATCCTTCTCCTTGTCCTCCTCATGCCCCTCCTCTCCCTCCTTCCTCTCATGCCCCTCCTCCTCGTTCATCCTCGACCTCCTCCTCATGATCCTTCCCCTCCTCCTCCTCCTCCTCCTCCTCCTCCTCCTCCTCCTCCTCCTCCTCCTCCTCTGCTGGTTCAATGTATCACGATAGTGGGACTTTCTGTCCGTTGATGATTCGTTCTGCGCCATAGTCGGGATCAGGCCAATGGGGTTTCGAATCCAAACCTCCACCTTCTCTTCTTCCCTCATCCTCATCATCCTCCTCCTCTGGCCCTCCTCCTCGCCCTTGTCACTTCTCCTCGTCCTCGTCGTCGTCCTCCTCCTCATCCTCCTCCAAGACTTCCTCCTCCTTGTCCTCCTCTTTCTCCTCCGCCTTCTCCTCCTCTTCCCCCTCCTCCTCATCTTCCTTACCCTCTCTTCTTCCTCCTCCCGCTCCTCCTCCTCCTCCTCCTCCTCCTCCTCCTCCTCCTCCTTCTCCTCCTCCTCCTCCTTCTCCTTTTCCTCTTCCTTCTCCTCCTCCTCCTCCTCCTCCTCCTCCTCCTCTTCCCTCCATCTCCCCCTTCTTCCATTTCCGCGCCTCATGTGCCCCTCCCCCATGTCCCCACCCCCCAGGGAAGATGAACGGGAGGGGCAGTCGGAGCCGGCGGAGTTTGCGGGAAGGGTTCTCCCTCCTCCATGTCGAGGAGGGGGAGGGAGGAATGGGGGAGGAGAAGCACAGACAGGCAGCAGCCGGGAGCTGAACAGCGCATTGGCAGAAAGATGTAGCACAACGTAAGATACAGAACGCACTGACTTGCACTACAACGCTGTGAAACATGGTGAGGGTGGTGATGGGGATATTGATGGTGATGAGGATGAAAAAAAGGATGAAAATGAGGATGATGATGGTCGTGGTTTGAATTCAACCAGAATAAGAGGCGCCAGATACGTCCGCCTGCCTGGGAGCTAAAGTTGTATCTGCACCATAGCTTTTTTTTTACGAGCTGCGGCCAGAGCGAGCAAGCCTCGCTTCGATTGGCTTCCACCTGGCCTGGATTGCTCTGGGCCCTCCCGCTCACCAGCGCCTCGCGGGCGGCCCGCCGCCGCTCACCAGCGCCTCGCGGGCGGCCCTCCGCCGCCATCCGACCCTCCGCCGGCAGCGGTTGCCACCCTGGAGCCGGACGCGCCCTCGGCTGAGGACTGCGCTTTCTGGTTCCCGCCTCCTCCGCCGTGCGCGGGGGCGACCGCGGAGCAGCGCGCGCCCTCGGTTGAGGAGTGCGTCGCCCTGCTCCAGCAGTGTTCGGCCGGCGTTCCGCTGCCCGAGGAGGCGTCGCTCCAGCAGGTGTTCCACTCGCTCGCGGGCCCGCTGCGCTGCTCGTGGAGGGGCTCCGCTGGCTGGCGAGTGGGCTCGCGCGCTGCGGTCGTCGGCTGGCCCAGCGGCCTGGTGCAACCTCGTGGCGGTGGCATCTATGGATGATTGAGGGCGGTGAGTTTTTCGGAGTATGCGGTGCAGCCGCCTTTGTTGCACGGTCGCGCTGTCACTGCTGTGCTGCAGTTTCGCCGGACAGATTGCGTTGTGGTCAACGACGACCTGTACGTGGCAGAGCTGCGGGCAGACGACACGGACATCAGGGCCTGGTATCGTCACGTTGTTGGAGACGGGCCTCCACCAGCTCTAGTGATCTTGGTGTACGTCTTCGCGGTCCCGCTCACGCGGGCCGACTTCGGCGCGCTGCGCCCAGCAGCTCTCTGGCTGGTCGCCGAGCACGACACGGCGCTCGCAGCTGCTGGTATCGTGCACGCCGTCGTCCCCGCTGGGGCTGGCGCGGGTACGGGTGCCGCGGCGGGCGCACCTCCAGGGCCGCAGCCTGCTGCCGCCGCCCTGGCTGGGCTTGGCGGCCTTGCAGGTGCTGGGCCCGCCGCTGCCTCCGCGGCTGCTGGATGGGCCGCTGCCGCGGCCGCCCCCGTGGTGGGAGCCCCCGCCCCTTGGGCAGCTGGCGCTGCCACGGGGCATGGTGGTCTCCATGCCGCGCTCGCATTTGGCCTTGGCCCAGCCCCGGCGGCCGCCGTCGACGACTTCTGCACCTTGGCGGCGTCCTGCGATGCCGAGGGCAAGCGGCACCAGGAGTTCCACAACGCGGCCAAGGCGATGCGCCAGCAGTCTTGGCCAGATTGGATAGTGCCTGGCCCGTGCAATATTCTTTGGTGCGCGAGCGTCATGTTGGAGAACGGTTGCTCGGCAGTGGGCCACCATGTCGCCTTTCGCTCCGCCTGCCACCTCGGGCTCGACGACCCCCTAATGCTGCTCCATTCGGAGCTGTCCAAGAACCTCCAGACTGCGATGTGCTACGACCAGGTCGACGCCAGCAACCTCGCTTCGATGGAGCTCATCTGCAGGCAGCTCCAGCTGCGCGAGGAGAAGCTCAAGGACCGCATCTTCGGGGCGACCAGGACGGGGCACCAGGAGTATGACGAGAGTTGGTTCTTCACGGGGTTGCAGAACACCCGCGGCGTCACGGCGCTCGCAGACATTCAGCTGGAGGAGCTGGGGATCACGGCGCACGGGCTTCGCTGCGGATGCGCGCCCCGCGACCTCCCCCACCGCCTCTAGACGCCGCTGGAGGTGAAGCTCCAGGGGCGCTGGGCCTCGGACGCGACGCTGAAGTGTTGCGCCACGCAGACGCGCGCGGTCTCGGAGCTGGCCCCGGCGCCCCCTCAGGTGGTGGAGCATGGGGGCCGCGTCTCGGAGAGGCTCGCCGCTGTGGTCGCCGGAGCGGCCGCGCCGTCGCCGCCTTCGGTCGCAAGGCGCAGCCAGCAGGCCCCAGCGAGGCGCTGCTGTGTGACCGCCCGGTGACAGCCCGCCTGCGCTCGCTGCTACGCGCCGCGATGGCTGCCGCCAGTCGCAGCCGCAAGCCGATCTTTCTCGAATGTTTTGCAGGCTCCGAGGGGCTCAGCCGAGGCAAGAAAAATCTGGGGCGCGGGGTGATTGCCGCCAATCTCGTTTCTCGTCCGTGGTTTGCTCTGGATCGCCTGGTTATCCGGCGCACCCTCCTCGGCTGGGTCTGTCTCTTCGGGAGTCATCCTGGCCGTCTGGCTGGGCGCGCCCTGCAGCGGCTGGTCGCAGGCCCAGCGCGGGCCTCCAGCCAGCAGTTAGTGCAGGTTCCGCTTCCCGACGCGACCTGGGGCCTCCCAGGCCTGTTGGGCCGGCCCCTCGCCGCCGTCCCCTGGGGAAGCAGCCAGCTGCGATTTTCTATACAAGCCATTCGGTCTTGTGTGCGTCAGGGACCCCCCGCTTTCCTTGAGAATCTTGCCTCCTCCCTTCTCTGGTCCGCTCGCCTTCTTGTCAGACTCGCCTCCTCTCCCCTCGTCCCAGAGCTTGGTCTTCAATTTGCGTGGATTTGGGACTCGGCGGAGGAGACGGGCCCAGGTCCAGGCTTTGGCGATCGGTTTCAAGATCAGGCTAGCGTTGGCTATGATGTAATGCTCGCGGCGGTCTCTGCGTGCACTCGCACAAGCATCACGTAGTCCTCACCGCCGCGGCACAGCCTCAGGGAATCTCTGGGCCCAGGCTGCGCAGAGCTATCCTCGGCGGATGGCCTCGGTTTTCGCCTCGGCTAGAATGAGCTCCGCCCAGGGCCTCCACTTGGCCCGCCTCCAGCAGTTGAATCGAACGCCATATTGACAGAACAAGTTTTGACGGCGTTCGGCCAGAAGCCCTCCTGGGAGATGGGTTTGTCTATTTCCCTCCGCTCCTGGTGTGGTGGTGGTGTCCTCGTTCCTGCTCCTCCCCCTCCTCCGCTGCCGGCCGATGCTCGGCACGAGCCTGTCCGTCGTCGTGTGACGTTGCTTGGCCTGCGAACACAACATCGACCATTGGCTTGGGTGGAGCGCTGGATGGTCGCTCTCTGCACTTTTAATACACAAGCAAAATGAGAGCCGCCAAGTACGTCCGCCTGCTTGAAGTTAACGTTGTATGCGTAGCCGTTTCTCTCGCCCGCCCTCCCTTCCCTTCCTTCCCTCACCCCCTGGTCGGTGGTGGTGTCCTCCTTCCTGCTCCCTCCCCTCCGCTGCCAGCCGATTCTCGGCACGAGCGGGTCCGTCGTCGTGTGCAGTTGCCATGCCTGCAAAGGCAAAATCAGACACTGGCTTGGGTAAAGCGCTGGATGATGATGATGATGATGATAATGATGATGATGATGATGATGATGATGATGATGGTGGTGGTGATGATGATGATGGTTGCGATGGTGGTGATGATGATGCTGCTGCTGAATACGACGGTGATGATGAGGATGATGATGATGATCATCATAATGATGGTGATGATGGTGGTGATGATGATGGTGATGGTAATGGTGATGGTGATGATGATGCTGGTGACGATGATGATGGTCATGGTGGTCATGATGATTATTGTGATGATTGTAATGATGTTGCTGCTGATGATGATGCTGATGGTGGTGATGATGATGATGATGATGGTTGCGATGGTGGTGATGATGATGATGCTGCTGCTGAATACGACGGTGATGATGAGGATGATGATGATGATCATCATGATGATGGTGATGATGGTTGTGCTGATGATGATGGTGATGGTAATGGTGATGGTGATGATGATGCTGGTGACGATGATGATGGTCATGGTGGTCATGATGGTGATGGTGATGATTGTGATGATGTTGCTGTTGATGATGATGATGCTGATGAAAATTATGCTGACGAGGATGATGATGCTGCTGATGATGATTGTGAGGAGGAGGAGGAACAAATATATTAAGACGGGGATTCGGATGGTGATGACTTCATGATGATGATGATGGTGATGTTGGTGCCGTTGATGATGTTTACTATGCTGGTGGTGTTGATGGTGATGGTGTTGATGATGATGATGGTGATGGTAATGGTGATGGCGATGGTGATGGTGGTGATGATGCTACTGATGATGGCGTTGGCGAGTGTGACTGTGATGACGGTGACGATGACGATGGCGATGTTGCTGCTGCTACTGCTGATGATGATGATGGTGATGATGATGATGGTGAGGGTGGTGAGCATGGTGGTGATGGTGATGCTGACGCTGATGTGGTTGGGGATGGGGTGATGCTGATGATGATGATGATGGTGATGATGATGATGATGGTGAGGGTGGTGAGCATGGTGGTGATGATGAGGCTGGCGCTGATGTGGTTGGGGATGGGGTGATGCTGATGATGATGATGATGATGATGATGATGATGATGATGATGATGATGAGTAGCAGGAGGAGGAGGATGAGGAAAGGACATGTAGGGATGATGATGATGATGATGATGATGGTGATGATGGTGGTGACGGTGGTGGTGGCGATGCTAACTATGCTTGCGATGTGATTGATGATCTTGTTGGTGATGATGGTGATGGCGATGGTGATGGTGATGGTGATGGTGATGGTGATGGTGATGGTGATGGTGATGGTGATGGTAGTAATGCTGCTACTGGTGATGACGATAGTGATCGTGATGGTGATGATGCAGACTGTGAAGATGCTGCTGCTGCTGCGTATGATGATGATGATGATGATGATGATGATGATGATGATGATGATGATGATGGTGATGATGATGATGATGCTGATGCTGATGTTGATGGCGATGCTGCTGATGATAGTGGTGGTGCTGATGTTGAAGAGGTAGGCGGGTGGAGGCGGAGGAACTTATGAGGGAGGGGGGTGAGGAGGAGGAGGAGGAGGAGGGGGCGGAAGGACAAGGAGGATAAACATAATGATACCCAGGGGTCATGCGGAGGGGGGAGAAGGGAAGAGGAGGAGGAGGAGGAGGAGGAAGAAGAAGAAGAGAGGGACGAGGAGGAGAAGGAGGAGGACTCCAGAGTAAACCCAATATGCGCCATCGATGCTGCAATGCTCCCTCCCGTCACAAGTCCCTCTTAATAAGTCTCTACAAGCCTCCCTTTCCGTTTCAAGACGCGCCAGTTCGAAAGATAAGAGCCCAATGGGCCTGCCATTCATGCGAGAGCCCCGTTTTGAAAAGGAGCTAAGTGCCTCGCATCCTTTCAGCGAACGAGAAAGAACCCGCAACGATATGGTCATGCAGCTCGACGGGGTGTCCAGCGAGATTCCTACTTTGAAAAAAGGCCGCCCCACCTGTGTAACTCTTGCACCTGCTCGCACTGATGGCCAAGAGAGTCGAGGAAGGCCCAAGCGAAAACCCCATTTTGAACAGGGGCCGCCCTCCATCTTCCGTGCAGCTTTTGCGTATGATCACCTTCCTGTAGTTAAACTCATTGAAATCTCAAGCGACGCCCAGTCTTGAAACAGGAGCCGCACTTCATCCGTGCAGCTGTCGCACCAGTCGAAGAATACTGCCCATAAAGGTTGAGCGGGTCTCGAGCGAAAGCCCCCACTTTGAAAAGGGACCGCCCCAACACTTGTACCAGTTGCAGGCTTTGAAGACGAGTGTGCGCGGCGCCGAGGGGAGAGCCACATCTTGATAAGGAGCGGCCCTGCATCCTTGACGCCGTTGCAAACTTTTAGCACGAGTGCGTGCGGCGCTAAGGCGATAACTACATTTAACAAAAAAGCAGTGCCCCTCATCATTGGAGCTGTTGCGAAGTTTTAAGACGAACGTGCACTGCGCTAAGGCGAGAGCTCCATTGTCAAAACGACCTTCGCTCCATCCCTGAAACTGTTGTAACCGTTAAGACAGTTGTGCGCGGCGCTACGGCGAGACCTTCATTTTCAAACAAAACGAGCTGTGCTCCATCCTCGAGGCTGCTGCAGACTTTTGAGACGAATGTGCGCGGCGCTACGGCGAGAGCTCCATTTTGGAAACGACCTGCACGCCATCCTTGCAGTTGTTGCCGAACTATAAGACGAATGCGCGCGGTACTAAAACGAGAACAGCATTTTGAAAATGGTCCCCCTTCCATCCTTGAAGTTGTTGCAAAATGCTTGGATCATGAATGTTCAGAACATCGAAGGCGAGACGCCCGGCCCGCCCTACTGATACGTCTATGGGTGCGACAGGGAGGAGTTGTTTACAAGGGGAAGCAACGGCGGAGGAAGGTGATCCTGGCGCATGTTGGTTGCCCCCCCCCGCTACAGGCGAGGCCTCCGAGGAGGCCGCCGCCTGAGCGCGCGCGTGGACCGCTCGACCGCCTTCCGGGCGAAGCCACGGTGAGCTCTCAAAGACAAGGTTGCGTATTTGGCGGCAGAAGGCCCTCAACAGCTCCTCGGAGCATTACAGAAATGCCAGCAAGGCATACGGGTAAAGACGAGGCATCCGTTTCTGACACCGATTGCGCTGCGTCCCAGACAGCAAACGCAGTATTCGCTCATCCCGCAAAAGATGTTGGCGCATAGGCGAAGGCGCGCACGCACATGTTATGTCTCTTTCTCTGTATATGTCTCTTTTATTTCTTGATTCCTATCTCTCTCTCTCTCTCTCGTTTTCTCTCCCTGCCAACTCCACACGCTCACACATATCTGCATGTGCTCACACACTGGTGCTAGCACGATTGGGCGCCTCGTAAAAGGGAGTGATCATGCGGTACGCAACCAATCGACGCGCTGCACTTGTCAAGAACGCCCGTGGATTTCACGACAATCCTATAAGAAACGCTCTGTCTTTTCGAGCTCTCTGCATCGCCAGCGGCACCGAGCGCCAGCCACGAGCCCTCCGACCTGGCCCGCTCAGCAGGACCAACACGAGGCATGCGCAACCGGGCCAGCCGTCGTGCGCACGTCGCCCGACCGCGCCGCAACACTCTTTAGTAAGGCCGCGCGCCCGAGGCGGCCACACAGCGAGCCCCCTCTGCGGCGCGGGCCATCTGCCACAGCGGCCAGAGCGGTGCCTCGCCGCGCCGCCGCCGCCGCCGCCGAGCCGCTGCGGGCCTGGCCTCTCCCCGCCCCAGCTGGTCGCGCGCCGCCCTCGGCTACTCGTAAGAGTGACCCTGTGACCCTTCGCAGGGGTGGCTGGTGACATCACATTCGGGCGCACGAGACGAGGACGCCATGCGATACCACGTTCGACCACACGAGGCGAGCACGCCATGCGATATCACATTCGTGCAACGAGACATCTCTTCCATTGCAGGTCTTGGACCACGGGCCTACAGGGGTCCCGCCAGCACTGGCTGGCGCACTTGGACTTCGCCCCCCCCGCGGCCCCCGTTAAGCCGTGCACCAAAGGTCACTCCTGTCCAGGGCCGCTCTTGCGTGTGGCCGACGTCCGCGCGGGGGGGACCCCTCCCAGAGCGGGCCTGCCCCGGAGCTCGGAGCGGCCCCTCCCCAAAAAGCTGCGGCGCGCTCCCGGGCGAGCTGAGGCAAAGGTCGTTGGTCCTCGGGGGGCTCCCTCGTCGCCACGGCTTTGCGCAGCCAGGAAAACTTGTGAGTTTGGACCCTGGGAGTGGCCCGAGGACCGAGTTTGAGCTGCAGTTGTCTCAACTCGCCCTGCTCCGACCCTCTCCGCCCGCTTCTCCCCTCCAGACCTCCCAAATGTTGGCGGCGCCCACAATGAGGTGGCGCGAGGGGGGCGGCTTACTAAGAAGGCCGCCCCCCTCGCGCTAACCCCCTTTCTGGGCGCCGGCCAAATTGGGGCCCGAGTAGATGGGGTCGGAGCATCGTGTCGCATCGCCGATGCATTGGCGATCTGTCGGCGATGCGGCGACCCTCCGACCCAATCTACTCGGACCCCATGTGGGAGGTCTCCATCCCCAGAGGCCCACGTTCGGAGGAGGGCCAGTCGATGTAGCGGCGTTTCTGCTTCCGGCGTGTTTTCATCCTGTTTGGGGCTTCCTGGGGGCCTTCTCGTCGCCACGGCCCAGCCCGCCTCGAGAAGTTGGTCGGGATGGAGACCGGCCAAGAGCGGCCGGGCCCCAGCCAGAGCTCACCCTCGCTAAAAGGGTGCGGCGCTCCCGCTCGACTCGGGCTGTGAGCAATGGAGTCGAACGGCATGGCAGAGCAGGAAGATGTGGAGGAGGAGGATGAGAGGGGCGTCGGAGGACCTTCTTACTGCCCCCCTGGGTGGGTCCCCCTCCCTGCCGTGTCGCGTCGTAGTGTGATCCCCCCAGAGGCTACGGCCCCCAGGAATTGGTTGGGTCCAGCGAGGATTTTCAACGTTGCCGCCCGTTGTCCTCCGATTGCCGTCTCGTGCGCTGGGCGGGTCCAGCGAGGTTTCGCCACGTTGCCACCCGTTGCCTCCTCCTTGCCGCCTCGTGCGCTGGCTGTGCGGCCTCGTTGCCGCCTCGTTGCCGCCTCGTTGCCGCCTCGTGCGCAGAGTGGGTCCTGCGAGGTTAGCCCACGTTGCCGCTTTCGTTGCCGCCTCGTGCGCAGGGTGGGCCCAGCGTAGGTAGTTTCGCCATGTTGCCGCCCGTTGCCGCCTCGTTGCCGCCTCGTGCGCTGGGTGGGTCCAGCTAAGTTTCGCCACGTTCCCGCCCGTTGCCTCCTCCTTGCCGCCCGATGCCGCCTCGATGCCTCCTCGTGCGCTGGGAAGGTCCGGCGAGGTTTCGCCACGTTGCCGCCCGTTGCCGCCCGTTGCCGCCTCGTTGCCGCCTCGTGCGTTGGGTGGGTCTGGCGAGGTTTCGCCACGTTCCCGCCCGTTGCCGCCTCGATGCCGCCTCGTGCGTTGGGTGGGTCCAGCGAGGTTTCGCCACGTGGCCGCCCGTTGCCGCCTCGTTGCCGCTTCTAGCTTGCACTACAAACACATCGATATATATATATATATACACACATATATGTGTGTGTGTGTGTGCAAGAGCACGTTCTGTGGTCGCTTGGAGGGGGGGTTGGAACCAGACCCCCCGCCCACACCCCCTTCCCGTGACGGAGGGGGGGGGGTTCGAACCCCCCTCCCCCCCCCTCCCTCCTTTACTTTTCCTCTCTCCCTCTCCTCGGGCCGGCGCCTGCGTCGGCGGCGGCTGGCGGCGGCGGCGGGATTCCCTCTCTGGGCCGGCGCCGACGCTTGCGGCGGCGGGCGGCGGCGCGGGGAGCGTCGACGAGAACGACGGTGGTGGTGGTGGTGGTGGTGGTGGTGGTGGTGGTGGTGGTGGTGGTGGTGGTGGGTTGTGATGGTGGTGGTGGCGGTGGTGGGTGGTGATGGTGGTGGTTTGGTGGTGGTGTGGTGGTGGTGGTGTGGTGGTGTGGTGGTGGTGGGTTGTGGTGGTGGTGGTGGTGGTGGTGGTGGTTTGGTGGTGGTGTGGTGGTGGTGGTGGTCGTGGTGGTGGTGGAGGGTTGGTGGTGGCGGTGGTTTGTGGAGGTGGTGCTGGTGGTGGTGGTGGTGGCGGTGGTGGTTGTGGTGGTGGTGGTGGTGGTGTGGTGGTTTGTGGTGGTGGTGGTGGTGGGTTGTGCTGCTGGTAGTGGTGGTAGTTGTGGCGGTGGTGGTGGGGTGGTACTTGTGGTGGTGGCGGTAGTGGTGGTGGCTTTTGTGGTGTGGTGATGGTGGTTGTGGCTGGTGGTTGTGGTGGTGGTGGTGGCTGTGGTGGTGGTGGTGTTGTGTGGTGGGGTGGTGGTGGTGGTGGGTTGAGGCGGTGGTGGTGGTGGTAGTGGTGGTGGTGGTGACAGTGGTGGTAATCGTCGATGCGTCCCCGCCGTCGCCGGCGCCTGGCCACCGCCAGCGCCAGCGCCGGCGCCGGCGCCAGGGGGGGAGAGGGGGTTTGAACCCCCCCCTTCCCCCCTTTGGGCTGCCTCTGGTCATCGTCGCTGCGTTCCCGCCGTCGGCGCTGCTGGCGGCCGCCAGCGCCGGCGCCAGAGCCGGCGCCGAGGGGGGGGGCGTTCGGGAGGGGGGGCGGGGGGGGTTCGGGGGGAAGGGGGTCCCCCTGGTTTTGATCGACGGCGCCGAGTGTTGGGGGGGGGGGGCCCACCCCCGGTTCGAAACGCGCCGCCGACTGTTCCCAAGGCAAGTGCCAGTGAAACGCGCTCTCGCGTAGATGTACATATATATATATATAATACATAAAATGCACCAGATAGCTTACACTACGTAGCTTGCACCACATAGCGAAGTAATAAAAGAGCATGGGGCTGCTTTGGGGGGGGGCCTGATCTGCGCAGTCTTGGAGAGTTTCGGGGGAGTTATCTACACGGGAAAGGGATGGAGGTGGAAGAGCGTTGGAGGACACGATTTGTGCGCTTGCTTCATGGCTGACAGCATACTCCTGCCTTCCACCCCTTACCTCGGAGTCGGCCCCCCTCCTGTTCGCAGGGTCGAATGTCGAAAAAAAATGGATCCCGAACGGGTAATTTTGTCCAAGAGGCAAGAGGGTTCTGGATATCAAAAGAGGAGGAAGGAGAGCGAGGAGCAGGATGAGAAACGGAGAGCGAGGGATTCTCAAGTGGCGGTCTGGAGGCCGACGCGCGCGACGATTTACCCCCGAGGGGCGCGAGAGTGGGCGAGGGAGAAGGAGGGAGTGAGAGGTAGGGAGGAGGCGGTGGAGAGAGAGAGAGAGGTATGCGGGAGAGAGAGAGAGAGAGAGAGAGAAAAAAAAAAGAGAGAGAAAGAGAGGAAGGAGAAGCGAGGGAGAAACAGGCGAGAGAGGTAGCTCCTCCCCTCTCTCCTCCCTCTCCCCTCTCTCCTCCCCCCCACCCACCTCCACCCCCCACCCGTCCGCCCCCCGAGCAGCAAGCGGTGGCCCTTGGGGGGGGGGGGGGGGGGGGGGGGAAACAAAAAAAAAAAAAAAAAATCGGCGCAGGGGGGTCAGCCCGATTTTTTTTGTTTTTTTTGTTTTTCTGCCCCCCCCCCCCCCCCCCCAGGCCCACCCCCCACGCCCCCACCAAAGTTCCCCCAGAGGAAGGAGAAGCGAGGGAGAAACAGGCGAGAGAGGTAGCCCCTCCCCTCTCTCCTCCTCCTCCCCTCTCTCCTCCCCCCCACCCACCTCCACCCCCCACCCCGTCCGCCCCCCGAGCAGCACGCGGTGGCCCTTGGGGGGGGGGGGGGGGGGGAAAAACAAAATCGGCGCAGGGGGGGGGGGTCAGCCCGTTTTTTTTTTTTTTTTTTTTTTGTTCTGCCCCCCCCCCCCCCAAGGCCCACCCCCACCCCACCAAAGTTCCCCCCAGAGGAAGGAGAAGCGAGGGAGAAAACAGGCGAGAGAGGTCGCTCCTCCCCTCTCTCCTCCCCCTCCGCTCTCTCCTCCCCCCCACCACCTCCACCCCCCACCCGTCCGCCCCCCGAGCAGCAAGCGGTGGCCCTTGGGGGGGGGGGGGGGGGGGAAACAAAAAATAAAATAAAAAAATCGGCGCAGGGGGGGTCAGCCCGATTTTTTTTTTTGTTTTTTTTTTTTTGTTGTTTCTGCCCCCCCCCCCAAGGGCCACCCCCCACGCCCCCACCAAAGTACCCCCACCCACCGCTCCTACCCCAGTAATGCCAATTCATTGCCATGGTAATTCCAGTGCCATGAGGGCGCTGTGCCTGCGCAAAGCCAACGCAACGCCAAGGAACACCAATCCCATGCCAATTCTATGCTGGGTCCGTGCCGCCGCATTCAAGCACAATGCCAGCACATGGCCAATGCAATGCCACTTCGGATTCAATGCCAGTTCAATCTGAAAGCGATGAGTAGTTTCTCTCGTGCGCTTCAACAAGAATCCTCTTGTGGACGGTTTAAATTGGAATCCTTCTGCAGAGGATTTCATTAGGAATCACTGTCGAGGGGGCTTCAATAGCAACCCTTCTTGTTGGATTTCAATAGGGATCCTTCTGTGGCGGATTTCAATGGAAATCCGCCTGAGGATTTCAGTGGAAGTCCTTATGTGGAGGATTTCAATCGAAACCCTTTCTGCGGAGGGTTCCAATCGGAAGCGTTCTGCGGGCGTTTCACACAGATCATTGCGTGGAGGATGTTGTATGAATGTTTCTGTGGATGGTTTCAACGGGAACCCTTATTGCGTAGGATTTCGATACGGATCCTTATGTGGAGGATTTGAAGAGAAATCCTTGTATGGAGGGTGTCGGTGTTGACTGTTTGTATAATTTCAATACGAACGCAACGCC